CTCCAATCACTCAACAGACCTCAGATTCGAATTCCCCGCATCGAAATACCTCGAAAAACGTTTTTTAGAACAAAATCGATATTAAATGTTTTTTTGACCTTTCACCCACCCACGTTTCCACCCACCCCGTTCACCCAAATCACCTAATTGACGTCAGATTCGAGTTCTTCGACCCCAAAAACCTTTATGGAATGATTTTCGAACGGCTAACAGTTAGTTTTCATTGATTTATAACGTGCTGATTTCTGATTGGCTTGGACAGACAGACAGACAAACTTTTCGCATTTTCAGCCCATGATTTTAATGTGTATAACCCTTTCTTTCAGAAAAGGGAATAAAATTGACACTACATATTGGTGCACTTGTGAATACTGCTGTGTTGTTTGTTTTATCTTCATTATACCCTGATGACGTGAGTATAACATATATTCCTATTAATAAATTTAAGATAAACTTTTATTGATAAATATGTTTACACAGAACTGACGAGGGAAGGCCACCAACTGTCTCCCCGCTTTTGGGCTGAAATTCAGTTGACAATAGGTAATCGAGTGTGCTCATTCCGAATATCACGATGATTTTTGCCCGCTTTCGATTTAGAGACCCGTTTTTCAAAAATCTTGGTTGTTCAAGCGAGAACCCATTTTCACTAAAAAAACATTTTGACGTGTCCAAATGGAAGAACACATCATTAAACCTACAAAAACCAATTTTTCAAGGTTCTAAGCGAGGTTTTGAGCGAGTTGTCTCCGTCTAAAACTTTAAAACAAAGAAGGAAAAACTGCCAATATTTTTACACAATTTATGAAAAAACTATTGTTTTTTCTTCTATTTTTTTTAAAGTTTTAGACGGAGACAACTCGCTCAAAACCTCGCTTAGAACCTTGAAAAATTGGTTTTTGTAGGTTTAATGATGTGTTCTTCCATTTGGACACGTCAAAATGTTTTTTTAGTGAAAATGGGTTCTCGCTTGAACAACCAAGATTTTTGAAAAACGGGTCTCTAAATCGAAAGCGGGCAAAAATCATCGTGATATTCGGAATGAGCACACTCGATTACCTATTGTCAACTGAATTTCAGCCCAAAAGCGGGGAGACAGTTGGTGGCCTTCCCTCGTGAGAAAAATATGTGTGCTTATAGATGTATATAGATCGAATGATAGCAATACGAATATCCAGTAATACATATATATATATATGACATGAGAAGAAAAGATTTATATGTATTTATTATTTATATCATCTATTAAAAGAAATAATCAATTGACTACATATCATTGTTCATACAAAAAAAAATGAAATATTTCCGTTTATTTTAATAAATTCTTGCCATATTGTAACTGAACATTATGAGGAAAAACATATACATATTTGAGATGTGAAAATGGAATAATATATAGATGAAACATAGATATTATGGTACTGCTTTGACACTGACAAAAGAGAAAATCTATACATACTATATCATCATAATTAATCTTTATTAGAAACTATCTGATGCTGATAGATTTTACTTAGCAAATATATTTTATTGAATTTATTTTTAATTTTTAAAATAATTCTAAATTATGAAATATTGTTATTAGCCGTCATTGAACTTGAATCAATTGGAAAAAATACAGAATTATTTATTTATATCTTAATTTTATATAAGAATTTATTATTGATATCTTTTGGAACATGATTCATTGTTTATAAGTTTGAATTGATTACAAAGATAAGTTTTTATTATAATAGATCAATTATTTTTAATAAAGGATTATTTAGTTTATTTTTTGATCATCACAATCCTTGTCCGTATCACAGTGATATATTCCTTTTTCAATGACAAAAGCCATTTCTTGGACTCGAAGTCTACAATTAAATAAGCTTATCTTTTTCAATTTATACTAGAGCTTGTATCATTATGTGTACCTGATCATTTAGCATTTGAAGAATGTGATAAAATTTCATTTTTTAATACGTAATGCTTTTGTATTTGATTTAAAAATTGAAACAGTCTATGATGACTCTGTTTCAGCAACGATTTCACTGAATGACAAATATCTAACGAAACAGTCATATGAATTAGAAAAATAATATAAAAACAGAGAGTATATAATGGAAAAAAGAATGAAAGATGAAAAGTTCTTCTCAGCAATCGATTTTTTATTCGATAGAAAATGATAATAAAACACTATCTATATTGAGATACTCATTACTCATACGAGAATTTTGCATCTACTAATTGAATCATATATTCCAAGATTGTTTTATCGACGGAACATTATCACACTACAAAGTCTAAAGAGAAAATCTTGACAACATTGTTTGTTTTATATTATTATTAGTTGTTTATTTTGAGACATGAACAGAAAAATTCTTATATATCTATCTATTGACAGTCTATTACTATATTTTAAAATCAACGAGATAGATGTGAATATATATTCCAGCTAAGACATAAATAATTATGAAAAGTTTGAATTTTTATTTATTTATTATTGGTTTATTCAGAAGGTGAATTTGTTGCTGATCTTGATAAAATATTGATACGGCTAAAGTAACATCAAGTTGTCGTGTTGCATTAAAAAATGATAGTTATATATTACATAAATTTTTACTAAATAATGTAACAAATAGAAAATCTATTTTATTTATTATTATAAAATATTTCTATGATTTAAGATTGATCCATTAGTTAGTTTAATGATGGTAGAAAAAGTTCCTGATTCTATCTATGAGATGATTGGTGGTGTTGATAAATAAAAAAAATAAAAGAAGTCATTGAATTACTAGTTAAACATCTAGAACTCTTTGATGATTTAGGAATTAGTCAACTGAAAGTAAGATTTCCTTTTTTTTCAATTGGTTATTTTTTTATAAAAGTGTTAAATCATAATTGAGAATGTTTTATTTTATGGTTCACCAGATAATGATAAAACTCTTTTTGCTCGAGTAGTTGCGCATTACACTGAATGTACATTTATCCGTGTATCGAGCTCGAAATTAGTCAAGAAATTTATTGGTGAAGGTTTACGAATAGTTCGTGAGTTGTTCGCTATGACTCGGTAGGAAAAGAAAAAGAAAGTTTTTTTAATTTTTGAAATTAATCTTTCGTAAATTTGGTAAACATGCACTACCAATTATATTTATGGATACAATTGATTCGATTGGTTCAACACGTGTTGAAGGTAGTTCAGATGACGATAGTAAAGTACAACGAACAATGTTAGAATTACTTAATCAATTAGAAGATTTTGAATCAAAACAAAATATAAAGTAAAATAAATGAGATTTATATTTTCATTTCTTTATCTTTTGTTCATTGAATAGTTATTATAGCAATGAATCATATTGTTCGTAAGATAGAACTTTCAATATCAAATGAAGAAGCTCGTTTAGATGTATTAAAAATTGAGTCATATAAAATGAATTTAATACGTGGTATTAATCTAAGAAAAATTACAGAAATGATGTCTGAGGCTTCTAGCGCTGAAGTTAAAATATAAGAAATAGAATCTAATTAAAAATAGCAAGAAATTTTATGTATTTAGTCTTTTTTTATAGGATGTTTCTACTGAAGTAGAAATATATGCACTTCGAGAACGATGTGTACATGAAACACAAGAAGATTTTGAATTAGCTGTTATAAAAATAAAACTATTCAAAGATAAAAATAAATTATTATTAGTATTTAAATAGACATTTGTTTTAAGTCATGCAAAAAGATTCAGAAAAGAATGTCTCATTGAAAAAAGTCTGGAATTGATTTAAGTCGTTTGTCTCTTTTTTTTTATGATCAGTTTATCTACAGTTGAACTGTTTGTTATTATATACAAAAAAATAAATATGTTAAGATGCCAATATTTTATTTGGATAATAATATCATCGATTTTTATAAAGGAATATCGAGCAAGGTAGAACAAAATAAATGTGAACAATCTGAGTTTAATAAGATACACTTATTATTAATACTTGATTGCTCGATCTATTATCGAGAAAAATAGAATAATAGTAATTATTCTAATTTTTACTTTCCTATTATTTTATCATGAAAAGTATACTCAGTATTTCTATATGCACGTAAATTTCTATCTATTAAAAATCATGGTGGGTAATAATATTCACGTCTTGAACATCCTGATGAATAAATTTTATCATGAATTATTCTCCATCAGCAAGATAACCTATCCACCAGTTATAATCGAATGTTGACAAAGTGAAAGAATTACTAAATCATCATCAAAGAAAAATCTTCGAGCTGTGAGAAAAATATTGGATCGCTCACGAGAGAGCCTTCTACAATAAGATTTGTTATCACAAGCAACTATAAAAAGAGCATTTAGATAGCGCGCACTATAATATTTAATAGCATAGAATAAATAAGCATAATTTGATGAATAATATATAGGTATAAAATCTGAACGATGTACATGAATTCCAATTCATGTAATTAAATTTAATTGAGATAGTTGCTTTTTAAATGATTGATGATTTTCCAATAAAAATTGGGTCTGTAACCTAATTTTTTTAAATGATAATCTATTTTATTATAAATACCAATGTATATATATGTACTATATCTATGTAAATAGAAGAGACCATAGCAATACAAATGAAAGAATTTTTTTATTTAAAGTTATTAAATATTTTTCTTCTTCTATTTCTTGTATTATTCTCATTTTTTTAACTTAAATAATATGAAGAAATTCTAAGCAAAACACATATGAGAAACAAACAAGAATTACTATAATATATAGAATTCTTTTTTTTGTTCACGAAAAACAAAACGATACATTCAAAGAGTTTACATCGATGTTTTATTTCAAATATATGTAACTTAATATATAAACATATATTTCCTTTACATTTAACTTTATCAAATTCTTATATATGACATGTAAAATTCAAAAATCAATACAAGATAAATATCAAACACATACAGGCATATGTATTTATTATACCAAGAATTATTTTCATTCAAATATTTTTTCTTTCTGTCACTTTCATATACAATATGAAAACCAGTCAGTCTATTTGCTTATTCGGGATTTTGATTTAGCTATTACTTTTTTTCTCTTTAAACTAGTATATATAGTATGAAAATGAATGAATCGATCCGATTATTCAGCTATTTCGATTTTTCCCATCATTTTGGTATGTAATATGATGGTCTATAGATTCATTGATTTATTTGAAATATTCAATAGAAAAACCAATTCGTTTTCATTAGTATTATAATACTAGATATAAAATAAAATATCTAGTTGTGTATGTATCTATATTTATTATATATAAGCAGTTTTTTTATTTATCTAAATTGTTAAACTATCTATTTATTGATAAATATCATATATATATATCAGCTATTATTATAAGTTCTTTCTTTATGTCTTTCTAATTTATTTTATTCTTCATTTTAATTTTAAATACATAATTCTATATCAGATCATTTGTTTCTATTTTTATAGATGTCATATGATGAGATACAATTGTTTTTTTTTATATTTATCATCTCATAATTGAACTATATAATACGTTTAACATTAATATAGAATGTTGCTGTATTTCTTTACTTGATTTATTTTATTAAAGTCAAGTATATAATTATAAAAGACAATGATAAATATATTTCAATAAATCTTCATATATATATATATATATATATATATATTGAATTGACTGATTTCTAAAAGACGAAAGAATAAGTTTATATATTACATCTATTTCATTATATATATATATATATTCATATGAATATAGTTTTTAATTTATTTTAACTATCAAACAAAATATTTACGATGATTTTATTTTATATCAAATATCAATTTTGTCTATGTTTTCTTATATTAAAAATCATAATAGTAAGAACCGGAACATAATGAATAACAATATAAAAATCAAAATTCAATCCTGTAAAAATTTATTAAGAAATGAAAAATAATAAATACTGATGATTGTGCTATGTTCTATATATATAAATATACAAGAACATGCATTTCCACATTTGAGTCTATATTCATGCCAAATCACTTGGAAAGCTTATCTGATGAGATTTTATTGCACATTTACAGATATATAAGTAGCGAACAGGTCAGTTAAAATTATATATATAAAACAATTTTATAAAAAAGAACATCCATAAATACTAAAATTCAATGATCAATAAACTGAAATAGTATGAAGTTTGATGTAGTTTGTGCTAAGAATATTCAATATATATTTATTTGGTATATAGAATTTAAACTAACAGGACAAACTTTGTTTTTACAAAGTGTAAATCTGAATAGTGAGACGAAGTTTAATCCACAAATTGACCACTTTAGGCGTGTGGGTGTGGGTGTGGGTGGATGTAAATGAGAGTGTACATATGAAAATGAGGTTATTATCTTCAATCACTTCGTTAACAGCCACATCCACCCTCCAGATTCGAATTTCCCGCATCGAAATACCTCGAAAAACGTATTTTCCTAAAAATCGATATTAAATGTTTTTTTGACCTTTCGCCCACCCACCCACCCACCTACTCACCCATGCTCATCACCCCAATCACCCAACAGACCTCAAATTCGAATTTCCCGCATCGAAAAACCTCGAAAAACGTTGTTTTAAAAAAATCGATATTAAATGTTTTTTGACCTTTCACCCACCCACGTTTTCACCCACCCCGTTCACCCAAATCACCCAATTGACATCGGATTCGAGTTCTTCGACCCCAAAAACCTTTATGGAATGATTTTCGAACGGCTAACAGTTAGTTTTCACTGATTTATAACGTGCTGATTTCTGATTGGCTTGGACAGACAAACTTTTATCATTTTAAGCCCATGATTTTAATGCGTATAATCCTTTCTTTCAGAAAAGGGAACATATCAAAAACAAATTTACCGGGAACACGTTTATCACGAATATCTTTTTCTTTAAATGTTGATGGTCGATTTCGTCTATCATTTATTCCATATATAAAATTATTTATTTTACTACAAAGCTGAGCTGATGTACATAAACGAGTAGATACAATTGTATGTAATAAAGAACTTATGATTTTTGGCATAACGCCCTCTGAGATATCATGCATTATATCTGGAGGTAAGCAGGTAATTGGATTAAATGATGATAGTGTTGACAGAATTGATTTTTCATTAACACCATATAAAGATTTATCATTAGGAACATTTTCAATATGTTTCACATGAAAATCATGTGATAGGTGTGGGTGTGGGTGTGTGGGTGTGGGTGGGTGTGGGTGTGGGTGGGTGTGGGTGTGGGTGTGTGGGTGTGGGTGGGTGTGGGTGTGGCTGTGGGTGTGGCTGTGG